AACTCCCATGTGCATGATCAGATCAATTTCAAACTTTGTCTGTGTGATCACTGACCACATCTGAAGACAGTGACAATGTGGACAGCTGGCATCACCTAAGCCCCGCCCCCTGATAACAGGAAGTCTACTGTTTTATGGTGAAATGCCCATATTTGTCCCCTCTAATTTAGTCAACATGACACTAAGGTCATGCACTGTCTTCATGATGTTGTAATGACCATTCAGATCTGATAGCTTTTCAGAAAGGGAGGCTGCTTTGATGCCATGGCGATTTCTGGCGTGACGCTGTGACCTTACGTTTGACTGTAACTTCCACAAACAGCCTCCGATTTGCCCGAGACTGAACATCACATCACCAGTGTGGTAAAGATAGAGTATCTCCTAGTGGTGAGACGTGTAATGCTGGGCTCAGAGGGGATGCTGAGTCAGGGTGAGGTGTGGACGAGGAGGCCGTTCACGGTTTCTGGTGTCGGGGTGGTTGACTTTCTTTTCTGCCAGACGTGCCCTGGTTCCCCCGGCTGCCGGCCAGGACGGAGCGGCGCGGAGCTGGGTTTGGAGAGCGTCGGGGATGGAGCAGAGGGGGTGCGGCAGGAGGTCGAGCAGCTTCACTGCGAGGGCCGAACGACGCTGCTTGCAGCTTTAATTATTATTATTATTCTGAGCTACTACAGCAATCAATTTCCCTCTGGGATTAATAAAGTATTTTTTGAATTGAATTGAAGTGAATAAAATAAAAGTCTTTTTTTACATTTCAATCACACTGGATAACTTATTTATCTCCACTCCGATGTCTTGCTGGTTCGGAGAGGAGAGGATCCCTCCTAAAAACGCTGTGCTGCCCGAGGCAGAAACAGGCCAGAGATCTCTTCACATGAATAACACAGGAGCATGGAGGAAGCCCATTCGGTGGTCTGCTGGAGGGATAGAACCAGGTTCTGTCCTTTTCTCAATCTCAGAGTCTCAGTGGTCTAACGGCTTGGCCGTAGAGGCATAAAACAGCAGGAACAGGGGGAGATTGGGCCAAGTTGTACATCTGAGTGGAAAGCAGACTTCCAATAGCCTGCAGGCTCAGAGCAAACAGAGTGGATTCTGAGGACAGCACCAAACTAATCTGACACCTGGGAGTCGCAGATTTACAATTATAACACAATGAAATGTGTCAAGAGCTTATGTTGAAAATAGGGCTTCGTACCAAGACAAACATGCAGGTTTGATGGTGTTAAATGCTGTTATAACAATGTACCAGGGGTGTAACGATATGCCAGAGTCATGGTTTGGTACGTGCCTAGTCAGAGGAAAAGCATTTGTTTTTATATGTCAGACAATAGCTACCAAAAAGTGTTTAAAAAAGCTTTTGTAGTTGCAACCTTAAAGTAACAATGTCTAGTTTTTACCGATAATCTCTGGAAATATCCACCGAAATGTAAAAATTGAAATGATGCCCGGTTTTTGAAAAATATTGGCAGCTTTGTAACGTATAACCATAAAAATCAAGTCTAAAATACACGTGAGCGGGTCTCAGTCTCCGGGCGACGCCATATTAGACGCTTTCCTTCTACGTGAGCCCGTGAGGACAAAATTCATTTACTGATTAGCAACAAGTGGTTACAAAACTTTCACCATTGATAAACATTGTTGTTTTACACATTTACCTCTTCACTCGTTGCCGGTGATGAAAGGGAGTCTGATGTGCGTCATTTTGCTGGAGGTTGTGCTCCCAGGGATTTTTGACCCTAATGGCCATCCCAGGGTTCCGACAGGTTTCATCAAGTTAAATTCAAGACTTTTTAAGACCTTTTCAAGACCACTTAAATAAAAATTAAAACCAATTTCACAGCCCTACCAGCAAAAAATTCATATCGTAGAACTTGTGTTCATTTATTTATCTTTTCTTTTTGTATTATATTTTACCAAAACACTAGGCAGAGAACAGTAGCAGAGCAGGTTTGAGCTTTCACAGAAAGAGTAGCTAGGTAAAACACGAACATGTAGCGACAGTAGGGCTGGGTACAAGTAGATATTTCTTGATACTACTACTTTAACGATACCTGGTTTTTGATGGCGGTACCTTAATGATGCTTTTGTTGAAATCTATATATTTTTTTATTCTAAGAGAGGATGAGAAACTGCCTAAAGCTTTTGTTCTTATTGAATCAATTTCCCTCTGGGATTAATAAAGTATTTTTGAATCGAATATAATTTAATTTACCCACCCTTTTTGGAGTACCTGGGACGAGTGCTAGATAGTGCTCCATCAGGGGACTCCATTGTCCTGCTGGGGGACTTCAATGCTCACGTGGGCAATGACAGCGTGACCTGGAGGGGTGTGATTGGGAGGAACGGCCCGCCTGATTTGAACTCAAGTGGTGTTTTGTTATTGGACTTCTGTGCAAGCCGCAGTTTGGCCATAATGAACACCATGTTCGAACATAAGGATGCCCATCGGTACACTTGGTACCAGGGCAGCCTAGGTCGCAGGTCGATGATAGACTTTGTAGTCGTATCATCTGACCTGCAGCCATATGTTTTGGACGCCCGAGTGAAGAGAGGAGCGGAGCTGTCAACTGATCACCACCTGGTGGTGAGTTGGATCAGATGGCAGGGGAAGATGCCGCGTAGACCTGGCAGACCCAAACGCATAGTGAGGGTCTGCTGGGAACGCCTGGCAGAAGAACCTGTTAAGACGGTCTTCAACTCCCACCTCCGGCAGAGCTTTGACCGCGTCCCGAGAGCAGTGGGGGACATTGACTCCGAGTGGGCCTTGTTCCACTCTGCAATTGTTGAGACGGCTGTTGCTAGCTGTGGTCGCAAGGTGGCCGGTGCCAGTCGTGGTGGCAACCCCCGTACCCGCTGGTGGACACCAAAGGTTCGGGGAGCCGTCAGGCTGAAGAAGGAGGCCTACAGGGCGTGGCTGGTTTGTGGGTCTCCAGAGGCAGCAGACAAGTACCAGATAGCCAAGCGGGGTGCAGCAGTGGCAGTTGCCGAGGCAAAATCTCGGGCGTGGGAGGAGTATGGTGAGGCCATGGAGAAAGACTATCGATCGGCTCCAAAGAGGTTCTGGCAAACTGTCTGGCGCCTCAGGAGAGGAAGGCAGCAACTCGCTCACACTGTTTACAGTGGGGATGGGGAGCTGATAATGTCATCTGGAGCTATAGTCGGACGGTGGAAAGAATACTTTGAGGAGCTCCTCAATCCCACCTATGCACATTCCGAGGAGGAACCAGAGCCGGGAGACCTGGGGATGGACTGTCCAATCTCGGGGGCAGAAGTTGCTGAGGTAGTCAAACAATTACACAGCGGCAGAGCCCCGGGGGCATATGAAGTTTGTCCTGGGTATCTCAAGGCTATGGATGTTGTAGGGCTGTCATGGTTGACACGTCTCTGCAACATTGCATGGTTATAGGAGGCAGTTCCTGTGGAGTGGCAGACCGGGGTGGTGGTCCCCATCTTTAAGAAGGGTGACCTGAGGGTGTGTTCCAACTATAGGGGGATCAAACTCCTCAGCCTCCCTGGAAAGGTCTACTCCAAGGTACTGGAGAGGAGGGTCAGATCGATAGTTGAATCTCAGATTGAGGAGGAGCAATGTGGTTTTTGTCCTGGCCGTGGAACTGTGGACCAGCTCTATACCCTTGCAAGGGTGATGGAGGGGGCATGGGAGTTTGCCCAACCAATCCACGTGTGTTTTGTGGATTTGGAGAAGGCTTATGACCGTGTCCCCAGGGGCACCCTGTGGGTGACGCTCCAGGAGTATGGGGTGGGTGGCTTTCTGTTAAGGGCCATTCAGTCCCTTTACCAGAGGAGCGTGAGTTTGGTCTGCATAGCCGGTAGTAAGTCGGACCTGTTCCCGGTGAGGGTTGGACTCCGCCAGGGCTGCCCTTTGTCACCACCGGTTCTGTTCATTACCTTTATGGACAGAATTTCTAGGCGCAGCCATGGTGTGGATTGTGTCGAGTTTGGTGGCAGGAGAATCTCGTCTCTGCTTTTTGCGGATGATGTGGTCCTCTTAGCTTCATCCAGCTCTGACCTTCAGCTCTTGCTGGGTAGGTTCGCGGCCGAGTGTGAAGCGGCTGGGATGAGGATCAGCATCTCCAAATCTGAGACCATGGTTCTTGACCGGAAAAGGGTGGCTTGCCAACTCCGAGTCGGGGGAGAGGTCCTATCTCAAGTGGAGGAGTTTAAGTATCTCGGGGTCTTGTTCACGAGTGAGGGTAGGAGGGATCGGGAGATCGACAGGCGGATTGGTTCAGCGTCTGCAGTGATGCGGACGCTGAGCCGATCTGTCGTGGTGAAGAGGGAGCTGAGCCAGAAAGCCAGGCTCTCGATTTACCGGTCGATCTACGTCCCAATCCTCACCTATGGTCATGAGCTTTGGGTAATGACTGAAAGGACGAGATCACGGATACAAGCGGCCGAAATGAGTTCCTCCGTAGGGTTGCCGGGCTCAGCCTTAGAGATAGGGTGAGGAGCTCGGACATTCGGGAGGGACTCTGAGTAGAACCGCTGCTCCTCCAGATGAAAGGAGCCAGTTGAGGTGGTTTGGGCATCGGGTCAGGATGCCTCCTGGACGCCTCCCCGGGGAGGTGTTTCGGGCATGTCCTGCTGGCAGGAGGCCTCCGGGTGGACCCAGGACACGCTGGAGAGGTTACATCTCCAATCTGGTCCGGGAACGCCTTGGGGTCCTGCCGGAGGAGCTGGTGGAGAAGGCCGGGGAGAGGATGGTATGGAGCTCCCTAGTTGAGATGCTGCCCCCGCGACCCGGACTCGGATAAGCGGAGGAAGACGAAGAATTGAATTTATATTATTTTATATTTATTTTTGTTATACTTTATTTTCTAAGCAAAATCAGCAATACTACAGCGTAAACAGTAAAGGCACAAAATGTAAATTTATGTGTAAAAATAACCTTCATTAATGCCGGACTTCATGTCGGTACTAGCAGTAATAACCCTTCTGAACTGCATTTTATAATGCTGGTAAACAGCAGCTAAGTTTGTTTCATGTCCCATTTCTGCTTTTATCAGCCTCCATCCTCAGACTATTCCAGTGTTTTGGAAGGTGATGGACTCAGGTTTACTTTTTTGCACAGACTTTCCATGTTCCAGCTTTCGAGATGATGCCCTGCATGTCGAGGTGTTTTGTAAAATTGCTGCTATTTCTGATTTTCACGGCACAAATCTTCTCGCTGGTGTTGCATTTAGCTGCTGCTTACTTTAGCGAAATGCACCCAAACACAGTGGCGGATTTAGCTATTTGGGGGCCCAAAGCGAACACAGACATGGGGCCCCCTTACACAAAATTTTAGACAATCTTATCTTTAACTGGATTAGCAAAACTCTACCCTCTTCTGACCTGAGTCGTTTTCACTTTATATTAGTCCTCCTCTTTTTTCCTGTCTTTCTCTCCCCTTGAGTGCCTTCAATATTTGCTCTGCTTTCTTCTTCATGTCAGTGCTTCTGTGCTTTTGCCTTTCTTTATTTTCTTCTATTTTCCATTTTGGTCTATGTTTTCCTCCCTTTAACATTTTCCATCATCTTTCCTTTTCTGCCTCCTTTTGATGTTCACATTGAAAAACGACGTCACTTTTGGAAGTGAAGATAAAAGCTTTTTTAAAGCAAGCTGCTTCTTTCTCTAATTGGATAACTAGGATAACTCCATTTCATGCTTAATGTTTTGACTACCGCTTCGAGTTTGTTACAAATGCTCCAGCCTCTTTTTTTCTTTTTCTGCTTTCTCTTCGTCTTCTTATTTGTGGTCTTATGGCACTTGGCAAACAACAATTTGGTGCATTACTGCCACCAACTGGATTAGAGTGGAATGACTACCAATCACTTCCTGTTTGTGTATCGCCATCTTAAAGGAATAGTCCATTGTGGCATTAACAGAGGGGTGCCAGCAGTCAGGGCTAGGGGGCCCCCCAACATAAGGGAGCCCCAGGCGGCCGCCGACCTATGCCTAATGGTAAAACTGCCACTGCCCAAACGTTTTAGTATTTTTTTGCATTTTCATCTGCAAACTGCAGAGAAGTGTTGGTGAAAGGAGATGAGTCTCCTCCACTCTTAACGTGACTTGGGATCAGTCATGTGACCCACAGTGGCATGTTGGGACATTTTAATACTTTTTGTCTGATATCAGTACCTACCAAATGTTTTCACTCGGTTCCAAAGAGGTCCAGTGTTCTGTCACCCAGCCCTAGGCGTCAGTCAACCTTTCTCATGGTCTGCTGAGATTTTGCGCATTTCTCGTGCTGGAGGTGTGTGTGGCCCGTGTTGTTTACCGTTTATCGCTGCTGTAGCGTGGGAGCTGAACTTGTTCGGAGTAATTTGACTGGAGGCTGCGCTGCATTCTCAATTATTGGTTCCGCCATTCTTTATTCATGCTACATTATTTAATAAAAATGATTATGGTTGATAAATGAAACTTTAGAGGACAAATACAGTACGGAGAATTTACATACAGCACAAATGTTAAGACCCATTTGTCAAAATTCAAGACTTTTTACGCATCAGCCTGAGGAAGTTTGCAGCCGCAAACGAAACATAGCGGGAAAACAGGTAACAAAACTGTTCTGTGTTTTAAAAAAGAACTACAGCATGGAATTAGAAATACGACACAGCAAGAACACACCTAAGATGTTCAAAGGGAAATACTTCCTGTCTTCTGATTGAACTTTAGTAATTGATAGTTTTAGTCTTCATGCACATTTTTTCGTTTCACTTTTGTTTTCAAAAATATATTTGTGACAAAAGAAACGACAAAAATATTTTGTCAAGCTTAACTCCACGCAAAATCCAAATACAGATCCAAGTGACATGTGAAAATACTAAAAGCATACATTATGAAACATCACACCAAATTTCAGCTAATGTTAATCTGGGTGTGGGAAAATTATTTAATGATGACCAGAAATTACAAAACTGGCTTGCCATATTAAGTATTAAAGCACAAATTATGTGAGTCCATTGGAACGGCCCCTAGCATCATTCTGGATGGCCAATCACAGTTCTCTTTTGGGATTTCAAACCAATAGAGAGCTGCAATTGGTCCACACTGGTGGGCTAATCACAGTGCTCAATCAGCTTTATGGGCCAATCCAGGCGCTCTATTAGTTTGGTGGACAGAATGATGCAACAAAGTGGAACAGGATGGCAACAGCTTGTTTGAAAAGGCTTTTACCAAAGTTTTGGACTATTTGGACTTGGGCTTTATTAGAATCAGATAGATGTTTTTGAGTACCCTGGCAAGCCAGACTAAATAAATACAATATTTAGTCTGACAACATTCCATGGACAGCTCTTGGTTGTGTGGCGAGTTCTACCGTTTTCTTTCCAACGATCTTTGCATGCTAGTGGACAATAAACAACGTGGCGTACTAACTGCAACGGAAGTCGGTAAACGAGGCGGTCCGCTGTTGAAGCAGGTTAAAATACATCCTTTTTACTAAAAAAAAGAACTTAAATACATCTATCTGCTCCTGATTCTAATAAAACCCAAGTCTAAATAGTCCAAAATTAATGTAAAAACATTTCAAACAACCTGTCACCATATTTTTCCTCTCTGTTGCATCATTCTGCCCACTAGACAAATAGAAAGCCCTGATTGGCCAACTAAGCGGATAAAGCGCTGTGATTGGCCCACCATTATGGACCAATCACAGTGCTTTATGTGTTTGAATCCCCTATAGCGATCTATGATTGGCCAGCCGGAATGTGGCTAGAGTCTGCAGAGGTCCCAATGGAGCGTTCTTGACCAAACTTTGCAAAGCAAGAATTTGGTCTAGTTCACTAGGCTAGTCACCTATTATGTATTTTCGTCACGTTGTTCATTGCCCAGTAGCATGCGGAAATTGAACGACAATGGTAGAACCCGCCCCGCAACCGAGATCTGTCATTGGAGCATTATTTATTTAGTCTTGACTTGCCAGGCTAGTAGCACGTGGCTCCTCCCTGCATGGAAATGTTTGTACAAAGGGGCAGATCTTTCATCTTCTACATGATAGTCTGAAGTAGCTAGGTCAACTTTCAATAGGATCCTCTGCTTCTTTTCTGTTGTACCCAAAAAAATAAAGTGTCTAAATGAGCTGTGGACATTTAAGATGAGGGAGTTTGTATAATTGTTCACTAATGTAATTTATTAGTTTTTGTTACAATACTGAAATTCCTCACAGAGGAATTGTGAAAACTTCAATTAATTGTCATCGACTGAATGCTATTTGAAGTTAACATCGCAACAGGAATTCCTTAATTCTGCCAATTTTTCTGTCACACTCAGATGACCACGATCTACTGCTGCAAGCTATGTTCTGGTTGCTTCTTCGGATCCCGGGTGTTCACAGCCCCAGGAAGCAGCCTCCCCAATTCAGCCGTATATGGAAAGCACTCTATAACCTTACTGTTATTGTTCTGACAAGAACAATGCATCTAAAAGCGGTGGAAGACACAGACGAGGAAAACACTAAATAAAGATGTCTGGCTTTTAAAAATAATCAGATGGAAGCAGTTTTTTTTAACATTTCTATTTACATCATGGAAATCTTTTCAGCTTATGTTGATGCCAGCACTCGCCTTTGATGTGGATTTTAAAAAAGCTGTATTTAGTCCACATTGTGTTGCACAACCTAATTTATAGGATTTGACCCTGGCTCCTCCTTTGTGCAACAGCCATCTTGGAAAACAATGGCAGGAAGGTTGAAACTTAGGAGGAACTGAATCTGCTGTTTTCCATTTATTCTGCTCTTGTTCAATGGAGAATGTTCCCTCCCCGTGTAAAACCGCTCTGTTTTCTCATGTCCAACAGGAGTCATAAAATGATGTCTAAGCATACCACGATCAGGCATTAGGACTGGGTTTAACTGGACACATGGGGACAGTTGTTTTGTACCACATGGGGCGAGGTGAGGGGGCGGCAAGGACGACAGAGGAAGGCATTGCTGCCTGGCGACCTCGTGGTGACCCAGTGGCCTGCTCACGGTGGGATCAAGGCCTAGAAGGGAGCCGGCTGAGGGTTAGAGGTTTAAGGGTAACAAATCAAGCAACACTTTAGTGGTATTTAACCCCCACATGCCATATCTCTCTAACTGCAAGAACAGTCCAAGAGAAAAGCAAGAACTTTTTTTTACTCTGCAACCAAAAGATTAGGCCGGTTACCAAACAGTTGCATCTTGGCATGAAAGACTTTGCAGCAATGATGCCAAAATAAGACAAAAATAAACAGAATTTTTCATATTAGATTTTATTTAGAATAAGGAAAAAATGATTCCTCTCTACGAGGATCTCCACCTTTACACTTTCTTTCCTCTTATCGTTTTGTGCACTATAAAGAAGAGGACAGGGACCTCCTATCGGGAGTGCATATTGGACTCTAAAAGCATCACTCAACTTTATGTTTTGGTTCCCCGAGCTCAGCTGTGTTTCTTCCATTAGTATCTCCTCATAAAATGTGCTGGGGTTATAAAGATGAGCAACAGACGACCACAAGATAGTCCTGCGCCTTTACATGGCAATAAGGTGTTTCCTTGTACCGGTGAGCCCCTCACGGCTAAAGAAGTACATAAAGTTTATTGTGTTAATTCTGGAGGGCAAGAATATATATATATATATATATATATATATATATATATATATATATATATATATATGGGATAATCTGATGAAATATTTATTAAAGCATTAAAACAGAGAAAAAAAACCTACACAATAAGAGAAATCCCTTCCTTAATACATGAAAATGACAAATTGTGTAAAAGACATTTAGCTTTTTAAATTCATTGTGATATCACCATGTTTTCATCTTATTAACAGATTCAATAGCAAATACATTTGTGTTTTATGTATTTTTAAGCTTTTTATGGCTCAACACCACAAATAAGTATATTTAAATGTCAAATTTAGCACAATAAGCAAAGTTCCTGAATGTCATGTTCTGATTTATCATAATTATTAACATTTGCAGGAGTTTGGTGGATTGGTTTTACATTTTCTCAGGTATCAGTGCTTGAACTGTTGGGAATGTCGCGTTTTCTTAAAATAATCCCTTTATCACAAGAAAATGCCATATTTATAAAAAATGTATGCAACTGTTGAATTAGAAATTAAACATCTTTCAATAATGAGGTTAGAAACAAAATGACTTCAATTATAATAAACTGTAGACTTTGTTACAGTGTAAATATAAAGAGTGCTTTAAACCACTGTAAAAAAAAAAAACAAGGAGAAAAGGTCACTGGGAGGGCATCCTAATCAGAAATGATCCTGTTTACCCCCCTGTAGAGAGACTGAGAGGGCACTGAGTGACGCAGGTGAGAGACAGGCGTCCACCGATCCTCTAGACCGCACCTCTCTTATCTGCCAATGGAGCAGAGGAGGAAGGAGTGACAAAGGCCAGGGCTTTGGGTGTGATAAGTAAGGGTCTTATGTCCTGCTTCGGTCCTGACGAGCACCATGGCCATCTACAGCGAGAGGCCATCCAAGGGCCAGGTGTTGACCACGAGCGGCGTCTGGCCGTGCCGTCAGATATGCTGCTGTGTGTTTACTCGAGGCTGCTTTGGTGTGGTGAATTACAGGAAGAACGTGAGATACAGACGAAGAAAGAGGGTCAGGTGGAGTTCAGGGCAGTTTTGTTGCCAGCTGTTATCACGCCGCAGGAAAGCCAAATTGCTTCCGGATCCATAGCAGGAATCCACCCTTACATAGTTCAGTGTTTCTAACCTTCCCACCTCCTTGTTGCTCTCTCCCTTTCCTCCCATTCAGACGTTCAGTTTTTTTCCCGGTTTTTCATCTGCTACTCTTCGGATCCCTTTTTTCCACTCTTTGTCCTCTTTCGGGGCCTCTGGTGTTCGCTCCTGCTGGGTGGCATGACACAAGGTGACGATGTCTGTGGGGAAGCAGTCTTTGAGTAGGATACCCCTGTCTCTCTGGCAGTCCAGCTCGCCAATAAAACCGTACCAGTAGATCACAAGGCCAGGGCCAAACCTGCAGCGCAAAACATAAGGAACGAAAACAGTGTTTGGTAACGGAATTATTACTGTTATGAGCTCTGAAGTAGCATTTGACTGTTAAATCTGGAAATAGAAGCTAAACCAAAACAGCGGAAACAAGTTAGTAAAACGATGGTGCAAAAGGAGCTGAATCTGCAGCAGATAAAGTGCCTTCGGTTCTCTTTTGATCACCATCCAGGAAACTTGCTCTGAATCAAACTAAAAGACCGCCTGGGAGATAAGGATCTTTTTGAATAGCTGATACACTTTCAATTACATTACAATGGCAGCAAAAAAAAAAAAAAACAACAATATATGGAGTAACAAAGAGCTGCACCGAGGCGTCTGATTTCTGTCATCATGATGCTTTTGTACATAGAGGTCAATGTAAAGTGAGATTTCAACATGTTGCATCTGGTGGTTAATCCAGCTGTTTGAGTCCCCAGCACGTTTGCAGGAAGAAGCTTTATCTTAATTGGCTAATGGTGCAGTTTCTAAAGGGGAAAATGAAATCAGACTTTTCCTGCCTTTTCTCCTGCTATCATCTTTTTGGAGCTACTCAGTAAAAAAAACAAAATATTTACAAGAAATGTGCCAAATTATTTCACGTCTCCCCTTTAAAGTAAAGCATACCTGTCAGGGTATTTTATAAGTCCCAAAGAGCCACCCATGGCCCTTTCTGCCTCATATACGGCATGCCTATTCTTTGAACATTAGCTGCCAAGCATTAAACTGTTAAGAGTTGAACTCTGACTGCAAGACCAGATCCGACGGTCTGACAGCGCTCCAGTCCCAGATACTCTATCCTCAGACAGTTAACAATGCTGTGGGGTCTCTGGAGAACTACAAAGGAAGCGAGCCAAAGGGCCAGGGAGAGCAGTGGAAGTTCAGTTCCAAGGTAAAGTACATAAAACCTGGAACATGTGATCAGTTTTTCCATGCGGAAAATACTACTTTATTAGCATTTATTCAAACTTTTTTGTATTTGATCTGCATAAAATATGCGAGATGAAACAATATTTGTAAGGCAGACTTTTTGATAATGTACCAAAGAGAACATAAATTACAAATACGATCTTAAGACTGATTTGTTGTGGCACGTCTGGCTGTGCGGTGCTGTCTTGGCCGGGCCTTAGGGCGGTGCATGTTTTACATATAGCTTGTTGTGGAGACACATGTACAAGAAAATATGTGGCTATGCATGCACACCCCTCCCTGCTTGAGGCCCTTGCAGCGGTACATGCCCCTGCACTCTGTCCTGTGCTTTACAGTGTGTGATTTACGATGCTGCATCTCTGAGCGAGCAGGCCCTGCAGATGCACGCTGCAAGTTCACCACAATGTCACACACATAGCTCAGCCTCTCAGCGCCACACAAAACCGCCAAACCCCCCCAAAACTCTCATCATCTCCACGGTCCACTTCTGCACACGGACACCAATTCTTAATATGGAAATGTTATGGAGACACAAGCTAAACATTTACATTAGGCGACTTCTGAAAAGAGGTTACGCTCTACTTTTCATTCGGCAGCCATACTACATGGATTTCCTGTGCTCTGGACAGGGACATGAGGCTCAGCGGGGGAGAAAAGGGAGACTACTCACAACAGAGTGGAGAGGGGCAACCCTCTGAAAAGGTTAAAACTGTACATCAACAGATAAGGCGGCGGTGCACGATACATCATGTCCTGGGTCTGTCAAGGGAGGCCAAGTACAAATTGAAACTAGCAAAATTATAAACACTGGGGAGCCATGTCACCAAGGCCTTTCTGTACTGTAAAGAAAATAAATGGATTTTGAAACCTACTCAGCATTAATACAAGTCAATACCACAGGGACCTTGAGGTAAAAAAATGTGAGCTGGGGAGCAGAAACAATAACAGAATGGGAGGTTCAGGGGGCAAAGACTAAGTCTGATGGTTACAGTTTGGTATTCTTAAAGAAAAGTTATAAAAAACACTAAATAAAAACCATAAATAAACACTAGAACACTTCATTATTGCATTTATGCCATTTTCTGTTGCAATATTCAAGGATTTGAACAGAACTTTACGTTAAATTTGTGAACGTTTTTACCTGGCTTGTGCTTATTACATCTAACCTCCCTGTCAAACTCAACCATCTTCCAGTAAACACAGAACAAGATGGTGAAATTGTTTGTGAAATGCACCTAATTTCAGCGATCAAGCCACTTGACCAGCTCAGGTGTGGATTGATGCGGCCAACCATGATATTGTTAAAGTTAAAATGAGCGGTGGTCACATTTTAAGCAGGTGCCAAGCAGCTTCCTATAGTAGCTTAATGAGAGCCAGGCACTCTGGAACAAAACGCCCTGAATGGGGAAGTGGCAGCGTTATTAGCCACCTTTGCACATGCAGCATGAAATAAAGCAAAACCTCACCAAGTGGTGAACAGTACCTAAATGCCAAGGGTGCACATGCGGTTGATTGGCACATGATTGCAACAAGAAATGCAGCAACGTCTGAATACCTTGCATGCACTGAAAACAGTTGCTTATGTTGATTATGAAAACTTCATAAAATTGCTTTAATTTTCCTAATAATCGACTTTTTTTTAAATGCGAAGCTTTTTTCAATACATTTGCAGTGGTGTCTAGTATGAATTAATGACTTTTGAGTCCATCTCTGTGGGGATAAAGCTCTGGCGCTCCTGTTTCAGGAACCAGAAGAAGAAGAATCGGTGGAGAGGGAAACAGAAAACAGAAGGTTTAAAGGAATACTTGGGAACTTTTTCATATTTTCAAATAACTTTTTGAGCTAGTGTGTGCTAAAACTACCCTTTACAGGATTAATGAAAGGTCACCCAGCCCCTATCGCTTTGTGTGGCCAAAATATTCCACTTGAAACTTCAGATTTCCCAGTCTGGTCTGTTGGGACTTGACCTGACATACATGGCACTGCAGTCTGGTTTCAGCATGCTTTAGATCATGAACACAGCTGATTTCTTTACTTTAGTGATGGATCACTCCTGTAGACACTAATGAAGACTGAAGATGCATTTCATCCGTTAGATTAAGGTTTTAAAAAGACGAAAACACAGCAAAGAGATACAGGGAGTGCAGATTAGGCAAGTTGTATTTTTGAGGAATAATTTTATTATTGAACAACAACCATGTTCTCAATGAACCCAAACAACTCATTAATATCAAAGCTGAATGTTTTTGGAAGTAGTTTTTAGTTTGTTTTTAGTTTTAGCTATTTTAGGGGGATATCTGTGTGTGCAGGTGACCATTACTGTGCATAATTATTAGGCGACTTAACAAAAAACAAATATATACCCATTTCAATTATTTATTTTTACCAGTGAAACCAATATAACATCTCCACATTCACAAATATACATTTCTGACATTCAAAAACAATACAAAAACAAATCAGCAACCAATATAGCCACCTTTCTTTGCAAGGACACTCAAAAGGCTGCCATCCATGGATTCTGTCAGTGTTTTGATCTGTTCACCATCAACATTGCGTGCAGCAGCAACCACAGCCTCCCAGACACTGTTCAGAGAGGTGTACTGTTTTCCCTCCTTGTAAATCTCACATTTGATGATGGACCACAGGTTCTCAATGGGGTTCAGATCAGGTGAACAAGGAGGCCATGTCATTAGTTCTTCTTCTTTTATACCCTTTCTTGCCAGCCATGCTGTGGAGTACTTGGACGCATGTGATGGAGCATTGTCCTGCATGAAAATCATGTTTTTCTTGAAGGATGCAGACTTCTTCCTGTACCACTGCTTGAAGAAGGTGTCTTCCAGAAACTGGCAGTAGGACTGGGAGTTGAGCTTGACTCCATCCTCAACCTGAAAAGGCCCCACAAGCTCATCTTTGATGATACCAGCCCAAACCAGTACTCCACCTCCACCTTGCTGGCGTCTGAGTCTGGCCCATCAAGACTCACTCTCATTTCATCAGTCCATAAAACCTTAGAAAAATCAGTCTTGAGATATTTCTTGGCCCAGTCTTGACGTTTCAGCTTGTGTGTCTTGTTCAGTGGTGGTCGTCTTTCAGCCTTTCTTACCTTGGCCATGTCTCTGAGTATTGCACACCTTGTGCTTTTGGGCACTCCAGTGATGTTGCAGCTCTGAAATATGGCCAAACTGGTGGCAAGTGGCATCTTGGCAGCTGCACGCTTGACTTCTCTCAGTTCATGGGCAGTTATTTTGCGCCTTGGTTTTTCTGAGCCTGTCAAGTCCTTCTTTTGACCCATTTTGCCAAAGTAAAGAAAGTTGCCTAATAGTTATGCACAACTGATATAGGGTGTTGATGTCATTAGACCACACCCCTTCTCATTACAGAGATGCACATCACCTAATATGCTTAAATGGTAGTAGGCTTTCGAGCCTATACAGCTTGGAGTAAGACAACATGCATGAAGAGGATGATGTGGACAAAATACTCATTTACCTAATAATTCTGCACTCCCTGTACATTTAGCATTTGGTTCTACAAATGAACACTAAGGGGTGCTAAAAGCAAGCCAAAACTGCCTAGTCTCCCTTTCAGTCTTATTTCCTGATATTCTTAGGCTAGTGAACTAGACCAAATTCTTGCTTTGCAAAGTTTGGTCTATGGACACTCCATTGGAACCTCGACAGCCTCTAGCAGGAGTCTGGCTGGCCAATCACAGCTATCTAGAGGGCTGTGATTGGTCCATAACGGTGGGCCAATCATAGCGCTCCATCTGCTTTGTGAATCAAACACAGCACTTTATCCACTGTGGGCCAATCAAGGCCCTCTATATGTCTGGTGGGTGGGATGATGCAACATAGTGGAACAAGATGGCGACAGCTCATTTGATACAGATTTTACATCAATTTTAGACAATTTGGACTTGGGTTTTATCAGAATCAGGAGCAGATAGATGTATTTAAGTTCCTATTTTTAAGAAAAAAAGATGTCTTTTCACCTTTTACATCTGTTGCGGTGAGTCCGTCACGTTGTTCATTGTCCACTCGCATGCAGGGATCGTTT